TTCTTACACTCCTGCTATTAGTATAGGAGACCTTAAGGGAGATAGTCCCTTGCTGTCCTCTGCTGTCTCCCTTTGTTTGCTGACCTGATCTATTGTCTATATTTGTAACTTCATGATGAATGTCTTTTATACATTTACTCTTTGCAACCCTCGTGTTGCAACCTGACTGTTTCCCACACACACCCATACCTCTATCTTCTATCAGTTTAATATCCTAGGCATTTCAATAATGGGCCTCTCGATTGAGTTTGCAAGTGCTACCACCCCAGCCCCAGAGAGATGTACCCCATCCCTTGAAAACATATCATGTTTGCCATAAAAGTTGTCCCATTTATCAATGAATGGGATTACAAGTTTCTTGCTGTATTTGTCTAGCCAGCAATTTACACCAATTGCCTTAGACATCCATTCATTGCCCACTCCCCTTCTAGGCAAGATGCTACATATATTTGGGACCCTTCCCTTAGCCGACCTGTACTTATCTAGCGGTTCTTCTCTCCCACCCTTCCTGATATCATTTCCACCAGCACTGAGACAGACAATGGGCTTGTTTCCATTACCTGACATGATATTATCCAACCTGTTGACTATGTCACCAACACCAGCTCCAGGGAAAGACGCTTACTGGCTCACCTTTTTATGCCTATTACAGAAAGCACAGTCCATATATCTTACCTGTGAGTCACCAAGCACAAGAATGCGCTTACCACTATTTTCAGGGGAAGTAGTGCCTTTACCTTCACTGGCCACTGAGGTACACTCATCCTGAAGAACAGAGAAGCGATTTCCTACCTTCAAATCTTCTATTAACTTTCCTTATTTTGATGCTCTTCCCATTACTGGGAACCACTTGCCACTTGTAGCAGGTGCTGGACTGCACCTCACTGCTGCCTCCCCACCTACAGCTTCCTCGCAGTGAGAGACAGTCTGCACCTCGCTGCTGGTAGCCTCATTCCCCTCCAACTTCCAGCCACTAAACCCATTGAGGTGAACCTTCAGCCTCCTAATTTCCCCTGGGAAGCAAGACTTCCTCCTTCAACTCTCCAACCACAATTTTTAAAACACTGCAAAAAGCAAGCTTTGTAACGTCCTGGGAAACACACACTTTGTCTAACGTTCCTATCTCTGTTGCAGAAAGCACGGTCCATATATCTTACCTGTGAGTCACCCACAACCAGAATGTTCTTACCTTGATTATCAGGAGAGTTAGTGGTACCTTTAACCTCGCTAACACTGAAATGCACTCATCCTGGAGAACAAGGAATAGATTTCCTACTTTCAGATCTTCTCTATTAAGTTTCCTTATCTTGATACTTCTCCCTTTATAGAGACAACATTCCATTTGAAGTGGTTGCCACTATTCAACTCACTGTTGATAGCCTTTTTCTCCACACCGACTCCACTTTCACACACCCCAAACCCATCTAAGTGAATTTTCATCCCCCTATTTTCCTCTTGGAGAAGTAGAACCTCCTCCTTCAACACTTGAACTGAGATTCCAAACACTACAACAACCCCATGGTGGTCTATAATGCTCCACACTAATTCCCCAGACAGTTAGGACAAAATCCTTAATTTTAATGCTGGTAAAGGGTATTAGCCTAGTGAAAATAAATATAATACCTGGAATATATCTGGAAAAGGGTTTCTAAGGTCAACGCCCCAAGGCCTGGTCTGAGACTAGGCCTCGAGGTGGATTATGGCCTGATCAAAAAAGGGCTGTTACTACTGGTCGCACATAAACTGACATGTGAACCATGCTCGGCTGATCAGGTACTGACTTTAGGTGCCTGTCCAGTGCCTTCTTGAAGACACACAGGGGTCTATTGATAATCCCCCTTTATGTATGCTGAGAGGCAGTTGAACAATCTTGGGCACCTGAACTTATTGTGTTGTCTCTCAGTGTACTCGTGGCGTCCTGCTTTCATTAGGGAATGTTGCATCTCCTGCCGAGTCTTTTGCTTTCGTAGTGAGTGTTTTTCGTGTGTAGGTTTGGTATACAATACTAACAAGTTGATAAGCAAGACACATGTGCAAGAATTAGGTATCTCTTTTTCCGAAACATTTCGCCTACACAGTAGGCTTCTTAAATCGAGTAGTTTGCAGAATCAGTAGAGATGTATAGACGTATTCCTTCATCCTTGAAGATGTAGTTTTAGGTGGTCAGTTGCTCAGCCTGGAGAAGAGTTTTGCTCCATAGTCTGGAACAATGTGAAGATAACTTGACGATAGGAAAGGCTGAGCACTTCCTTCCCAAATGCATCCCTTTTCAATTGTAAGTAGTGGTCAGGGAAAAGCCTTATCGACGATGTTCTCTGTTCCAAGATACCGTTGTGCTGCAGTGTCCTACAGAGTAAATATGATAATGGTATCAATAAGTGTAGCCCACAAAGTAGGCTTTCGTCGTCGAGTTCAAAGGAGGCAGCAGAAGCAGTAGAAATGTAAAGACAATGTAATCAGTTGAAGAATGAGACACCTATGCAACATATGGGAATGTTTATTGAAGAAACATTTCGCCATACCGTGGCTTGATCAGTCCAATACAAAGCAAAAAGGTGTAAGGGAGGAGAAGTTTGAGGTAATCAGTCCTCAACCTGGAATCGATGTGTTCAGTCCATAATCATGTAGAAAGTACAGAATATGGCAGGAGAATCGGCTACATACTGTAGTCAGGTGAGTCAAAACGGGGGGAGGAGGGAGGACCATAGTGGAACCATCCTCCTGCTTCGACTCACCTGACTACAGTATATAAGCCACCTCTCTAGCCCTATGCTGAGGGAGTGATTACCTCAAACATCTCTCCCTATACCTTTCTGTAATTATTACCCAGTGTTAATCCATGACTGTTATTATTAAGATTCATAAGATCAAAGCCTAAGTCAATATATCCACACTCATCATTTTCCATTCCTAAACCCATACCTCTAATTAATCCTAGTTTAAAGTCCCAACGACACCTTCAACTGAACTAGCAAGAAAACCCACACCTACCCTGGATATATGAACCCCATCCCTGGCATGCATGTCATTTCGGCCATAGAAATGGTCCCAGTTGTCAATGAATGGTACTGCATTATCCTTACAGTGTTTGTCCAGCCAACAATTAACACCAATTACTTTGGACAACCATTCATTTCTAATTCCCCTTTTTGGCAAAATGCACCATATAACAGGACGCCCACCCTTCTTCCTAATTATGTCTATTGCTGTCCTGTACCTCCTAACTAAATCCTCACTTCTACTCTTGCCTACATCATTGCCTCCAGGACTGAGGCAGATAACAGGATTGATCTCATTACCATTCATGATGCTGTCAAGCCAGCTAACAATATTCTCCATCCAGTCCCAGGAAAGCAAACCCTCATCTCTACTCCTGTCCTTCAAACAAAAGGCCCTATCCATGTACCTAACCTGGCTATCCCCAACAACAACAATGATTTTACCTTCCTTGGTGTCGTTCATCGTGATGTTCCCAGTAGTCAACTCACATTCATCAGGTAGCACAGAGAATGAGTTCGATGTTTCCACAACATTTTCCCGGGATCTTCATTGATTCTACCTCTCAATCTGTCCTCTTGATCAAAAACTTTGTTCCATGCTTTCCAGCCACTGTCCAGGTTCCTTTTTTGGGCTTGGGACTCACAACAGGGGGATTACTACGAATCCTCTTGTTTTCCTCAGTTGCTGTATCTCAAGCTTAGCCACCCTCAGTTCTTCCTTTTGCTGCTGGCAAAGTTGCTCAAGAGAGGATATCTTGGTTCAGATTCACAGAAAGCACACTAGACAAGTCTTCATAGAGCAAAGTACAGGTCAACACTCAAAGAACGCCGAAAGTATATAGAGGCTGCCCTATTTACTGTCAGTAACACTATTCATCAAAAGTTCTGAAGTTACACAATATCCAAATTGCTATCAACCGAATATTGCCCATTCTGGAGACGTTGTAACTTGATGTTAAAAGGCTCTTCTCAAACACAATTCAGCATGTAATAAAGTTGGTAGAATTACCGACAATATGTAAAGTAAAAGGACACAAGTGCAACTAATGTGACATTTAATTGTGGCAACGTTTCGCTCTCTAGGAGCTTTATCAAGCCATTACACAATGGCTTAATAAAGCTCCTGGAGAGCGAAACGTTGCCATAATTAAATGTCACATTAGTTGCGCTTGTGTCCTTTTACTTTACAATTCATCATACCGAGGCCGGATTATACTTTTAGAAACCCTAAGAACTTGAATGATTTTGGTGCCTCAATATATATCTAATTCAAATTATAAACGATAATCAAAGGTAAAATTAAATTTTCTTTTTGAAAATTAAATAAAGTCTACAGTAAGATAAAATTTTTTTTATTTTTGTATACTTTCTCCTTTTCCTAATTGCAAAGTCTTGGATCAGATGATCAAAGCTAATCTTACGTAACATATCTGCTTTAATTAGTAGACATAAGTCATCCAGCTGTCTTGTTGCATAGTTGTTCTGTTGGGATTTTTAATATATACTTCAGCTGAGAAAGTGAACGTTCAACTGAGCAATTTGTGACTATTAATGTTAAAAATATACGAAAGCAAATGTCTACGTTTAAAAAGGCACAATCTCGTTTTGACATTTTTGTTGCGTCACTGAACTTACGACGCAAAATGAGTGAAACTGACGCCTTATATAAGCGCCAGTCTCCTTGCCTGTGCTTCAGAATCACTACAACCATGGTGCTGTAAACACCACCTCCAAGGCTGAGGGACTGATTACCTCATCTTTTGTATATAGTTCTTCTGATTTCTTATTATGTCCAAGAATCTGTATTGATAAAGCCACTGGATGGCGAAACGTCTACAATAAAGATAACCAGATGTTGCACAAGTTTCTTAACTTTCTTCATAAGTGAAACAGTTGAAGCTCAGCTTAGAAATTAGTGTCCAAGTTTTCTGGGTCAGCATCAAGCGGATCTTGACAACACTGAGAATACCTTTCAGTTTCAGTAGATGATGAAGTGGCGTTATGTGGCACATAGCATGTGGTATTATGTGGCACATGGCATGTGGCATTATGTGGCACATAGCATGTGGCATTATGTGGCACATAGCATGTGGTATTATGTGGCACATGGCATGTGGCATTATGTGGCACATAGCATGTGGTATTATGTGGCACATAGCATGTGGTATTATGTGGCACATAGCATGTAGTATTATGTGGCACATGGCATGTGGCATTATTGGCACATAGCATGTGGTATTATGTGGCACATAGCAAGTGGTATTATGTGGCACATGGCATGTGGCATTATGTGGCACATAGCATGTGTCTCCCATCTGGTGTCAGTGTTACCATAGCATGTGTCTCCCATCTGGTATCAGTGTTGCCATAGCATGTGCCTCCCATCTGGTATCTGTGTTGCCATAGCATGTGCCTCCCATCTGGTATCAGCGTTGCTATAGCAGGTGCCTCCCATCGGGCATCAGTGTTGCCATATCATATGCCTTTTATCTGGTATCAGTGTTGCCATACCATCTCTCTCCCATCTGGTATAAGAGAGTGTTACCATAGCATGTGTCTCCCATCTGGTACAAGAGAGTGTTACGATAGCCTGTCTCTCCCATCTGGTATCAGAAAGTGCTACCATATCATGTGCCTCTCATCTGGTATCAGTGTTGCCGTATCATGTGCCTCTCATCTGGTATCAGTGTTGCCATATCATGTGCCTCTCATCTGGTATCAGTGTTGCTATATGTGCCTCTCATCTGGTATCAGTGCTGCCATATCATGTGCCTCTCATCTGGTATCAGTGTTGCCATACAATGTGCTCTCATTTGGTATCAGTGTTACCAAAAATCATGTGCCTCTCATCTGTATCAGTGTTGCCGTATCATGTGCCTCTATCTGGTATCAGTGTTGCCATATCATGTGCCTCTCATCTGGTATCAGTGTTGCCATATGTGCCTCTCATCTGGTATCAGTGCTGCCATATCATGTGCCTCTCATCTGGTATCAGTGTTGCCATATCATGTGCCTCTCATCTGGTATCAGTGTTGCCATATGTGCCTCTCATCTGGTATCAGTGCTGCCATATCATCTGCCTCTCATCTGGTATCAGTGTTGCCATATGTGCCTCTCATCTGGTATCAGTGCTGCCATATAATGTGCCTCTCATCTGGTATCAATGTTACCTAGCATGTTCCTTCATTGTATCAGTGTTTGCCACATCATGTGCCTCTCATCTGGTATCAGTGTTACCAAGCATGTGCCTTCATCTGGTATCAGTGTTACCATAGCATGTGCCTCTCATCTGGTATCAGTGTTACCATAGCATGTGCCTCTCATCTGGTATCAGTGTTGCCATATCAAGTGCCTCTCATCTGGTATCAGTGTTACCATAGCATGTGTCTCTCATCTGGTATCAGTGTTGCCATATCAAGTGCCTCTCATCTGTATCAGTGTTCCCTAGCATGTGCTCTCACTGGTATCAGTGTTGCCATTCAAGTGCCTCTCATCTGGTATCAGTGTTACCTTTGCATGTGTCTTCATCTGTTTTTTTCAGTGTTGCCATATCATGTGCCTCTCATCTGGTATCAGTGTTACCTAGCAGGTGCTCTCATTGGTATCAGTGTTGCAATCAGTGCCTCTCATCTGGTAAGTGTTGCCATAACATGTGCCTCTCATCTTGTATCAGTGTTACCATAGCATGTGCCTCTCATTGGTATCAGTGTTTACCTTAGCATGTGCCTCTCATCTGGTATCAGTGTTACCATAGCATGTGCCTCTCATCTGGTATCAGTGTTACCATATCATGTGCCTCTCATCTGGTACCAGTGTTACCATAGCATGTGCCTCTCATCTGGTATCAGGTGTTACCATATCATGTGCCCTTTTATCTGGTATCAGTGTTCCATAGCATGTGCCTCTCATCTGGTATCAGTGTTCCAAAGCATGTGCCTCTCATCTGGTATCAGTGTTACCATAGCATGTGCCTCTCATCTGGTATCAGTGTTACCATAGCATGTGCCTCTCATCTGGTATCAGTGTTACCATATCATGTGCCTCTCATCTGGTTCAGTGGGTTTCCATAGCATGTGCCTCTCATCTGGTATCAGTGTTACCATAGCATGTGCCTCTCATCTGGTATCAGTGTTTTCCATAGCATGTGCCTCTCATCTGGTTTTCAGTGTTTCAAAATGTGATCTCACCTGGTATCAGTGTTGCCATAGCATGTGCCCCACATCTGGTACCCGTGTTACATTGCATGTGCCTCTCATCTGGTATCAGTGTTACCATGCAGAGTCCTTCATCTGGTATCAGTGTTACCATATCATGTGAATCTCATCTGGTATCGTGTGTTACCATGCATGTGCCTCTCATCTGGTAAACAGTGTTACCATAGCATGGCCCCTCATCTGGTATCAGTGTTTCCATAGCATTGCCTCTCATTGGTATCAGTGTTACCATAGCAGGACTCTCATCTGGTATCAGTGTTACCATAGCATGTGCCCTCTCATCTGGTATCAGTGTTACCATAGCATGTGCCTTTTCCCTCTGTTATCAGTGTTCCATAGCATGTGCCTTCATTGGTATCAGTGTTACCATATCATGTGCCTCTTCTGGTATCAGTGTTACCATAGCAAGAGCCCCTCATCTGGTATCATTGTTACCTTATCATGTGAATCTCATCTGGTTATCAGTGTTACCATAGCATGTGCCTCTTCATCTGGTATCAGTGTTGCCATAGCATGTGCCTCTCATCTGGTATCAGTGTTGACAAAAGCATGTGCTCTCATCTGGTATCAGTGTTACCATAGCATGTGCCTCTCATCTGGTATCAGTGTTACCATAGCATGTGCCTCTATCTGGTATCAGTGTTACCATAGCATGTGGCCTCTCAAACTGGTATCAGTGTTGCCATAGCATGTGCCTCTATCTGGTTCAGTGTTACCATAGCATGTGCCTCTCATCGGTATCAGTGTTCCATAGCATGTGCCTCTCATCTGGTATCAGTGTTGCCATAGCATGTGCCTCTCATCTGGTATCAGTGTTGCCATAGCATGTGCCTCTCATCTGGTATCAGTGTTGCCATAGCATGTGCCTCTCATCTGGTATCAGTGTTACTTCGGTCTACCATATATAGACAAGAAATTAACGGCTTCTTGGCAGCAGTCAGCAGTACTTCGGTCTGCCATATATAGAGAAGAAATTAACGGCTTCTTGGTAGCAGTCAACAGTACTTCGGTCTACCATTTATAGAGAAGAAATTAACCGCTTCTTGGCAGCAGTCACCAGTACTTCGGTCTACCATATATAGGGAAGAAATTAACGGCTTCTTGGGAGCAGTCAAACAGTACTTCGGTCTACCATATAAGAGAAGAAATTAACGGTTCTTGGAGCAGTCAAACGTACTTCGGTCTACCCTATATAGAGAAGAAATTAACGGCTTCTTGGCAGCAAATCAAAAGTATTTCGGTCTACCATATATAGAGAAGAATTAACGGCTTCTTGGCAGCAGTCAACATACTTCGGTCTACCATATATAGAGAAGAAATTAACGGCTTCTCGCAGCAGTCAACGTACTTCGGTCTACCACATAAAAGAAAGAAATTAACCGCTTCTTGGCAGCAGTCAACAGTAAATTCGGTCTACCATATATAGAGAAGAAATTAACGGCTTCTTGGCAGCAGTCAACAGTACTTCGGTCTACCATATATAGAGAAGAAATTAACGGCTTCTTGGCAGCATTCAACAGTACTTCGGTCTACCATATATAGAGAAGAAATTAACGGCTTCTTGGCACAGTCAACAGTACTTCGGTCTACCGTATATAGAGAAGAAATTAACGGCTTCTTGGCAGCAGTCAACAGTACTTCGGTCAATCATACATAGAGAAGAAATTAACGGCTTCTTGGCAGCAGTCAACAGTATTCGTCCACCATATATAGAGAGAGAAATTAACGGCTTCTTGGCAGCAGTCAACAGTACTTCGGGTTTCCATATATAGAGAAGAAATTAACCGCTTCTTGGCAGCAGTCAACAGTAATTCGGTCTACCATATATGGAGAAGAAATTAACGGCATCTTGGCAGCAGTCAACAGTACTTCGGTCTACCATATAAGAGAAGAAATTAACGGCTTTTTTGGCAGCAGTCAACAGCACTTCGGGCCCACCATATATAGAGAAGAAATTAAATGATTTTTGGCAGCAGTCAACAGTACTTTTGGTCTAACCCTATATAGAGAAAAAATTTTAAAGGCTTCTTGGCAGCAGTCAACAGTACTTCGGTCTACCATATATAGAGAAGAAATTAACGGCTTCTTGGCAGCAGTCAACAGTACTTCGGTCTACCATATATAGAGAAGAAATTAACGGCTTCTTGGCGCAGTCAACAAAACTTCGGTCTACCATATAATACAGAAGAAATTAACTTCTTCTTGGCAGCAGTCAACAGTACTTCGGTCTACCATATATAGAGAAGAAATTAACCGCTTCTTGGCAGCAGTCAACAGTACTTGGGTCTACCATATGTAGAGAAGAAATTAACGGCTTCTTGGGAGCAGTCAACAGTACTTCGGTCTACCATATATAGAGAAGAAATTAACGGCTCCAGTACTGTTGACTGCTGCCAAGACAGCAGTCAACACCACTTCGGTCTACCATATATAGAGAAGAAATTAACCGCTTCTTGGCAACAGTCAACAGTACTTCGGTCAATCATACATAGAGAAGAAATTAACGGCTTCTTGGCAGGAGTCAACAGTACTTCGGTCCACCATATATTTTTTTACTTTTTTTATTATCACACTGGCCGATTCCCACCAAGGCAGGGTGGCCCGAAAAAGAAAAACTTTCACCATCATTCACTCCATCACTGTCTTGCCAGAAGGGTGCTTTACACTACAGTTTTTAAACTGCAACATTAACACCCCTCCTTCAGAGTGCAGGCACTGTACTTCCCATCTCGAGGACTCAAGTCCGGCCTGCCGGTTTCCCTGAACCCATTCATAAATGTTACTTTGCTCACACTCCAACAGCACGTCAAGTATTAAAAACCATTTGTCTCCATTCACTCCTATCAAACACGCTCACGCATGCCTGCTGGAAGTCCAAGCCCATCGCACACAAAACCTCCTTTACCCCCTCCCTCCAACCTTTCCTAGGCCGACCCCTACCCCGCCTTCCTTCCACTACAGACTGATACACTCTTGAAGTTATTCTGTTTCGCTCCATTCTCTCCACATGTCCGAACCACCTCAACAACCCTTCCTCAGCCCTCTGGACAACAGTTTTGGTAATCCCGCACCTCCTCCTAACTTCCAAACTACGAATTCTCTGCATTATATTCACACCACACATTGCCCTCAGACATGACATCTCCACTGCCTCCAGCCTTCTCCTCGCTGCAACATTCATCACCCATGCTTCACACCCATATAAGAGCGTTGGTAAAACTATACTCTCATACATTCCCCTCTTTGCCTCCAAGGACAAAGTTCTTTGTCTCCACAGACTCCTAAGTGCACCACTCACTCATTTTCCCTCATCAATTCTATGATTCGCCTCATCTTTCATAGACCCATCCGCTGACACGTCCACTCCCAAATATCTGAAACATTCACCTCCTCCATACTCTCTCCCTCCAATCTGATATTCAATCTTTCTTCACCTAATCTTTTTGTTATCCTCATAACCTTACTCTTTCCTGTATTCACCTTTAATTTTCTTCTTTTGCACACCCTACCAAATTCATCCACCAATCTCTGCAACTTCTCTTCAGAATCTCCCAAGAGCAGTGTCATCAGCAAAGAGCAGCTGTGACAACTCCCACTTTGTGTGTGATTCTTTATCTTTTAACTCCACGCCTCTTGTCAAGACCCTCACATTTACTTCTCTTACAACCCCATCTATAAATATATTAAACAACCACGGTGACATCACACATCCTTGTCTAAGGCCTACTTTTACTGGGAAATAATTTCCCTCTTTCCTACATACTCTAACTTGAGCCTCACTAATCCTCGTAAAAACTCTTCACTGCTTTCAGTAACCTACCTCCTACACCATACACTTGCAACATCTGCCACATTACCCCCCTATCCACCCTGTCATACGCCTTTTCCAAATCCATAAATGCCACAAAGACCTCTTTAACCTTATCTAAATACTGTTCACTAATACGTTTCACTGTAAACACCTGGTCCACACACCCCCTACCTTTCCTAAAGCCTCCTTGTTCATCTGCTATCCTATTCTCCGTCTTACTCTTAATTCTTTCAATAATAATTCTACCATACACTTTACCAGGTATACTCAGCAGACTTATCCCCCTATAATTTTTGCACTCTCTTTTATCCCCTTTGCCTTTATACAAAGGAACTATGCATGCTCTCTGCCAATCTCTAGGTACCTTACCCTCTTCCATACATTTATTAAATAATTGCACCAACCACTCCAAAACTATATCCCCACCTGCTTTTAACATTTCTATCTTTATCCATCCATCCCGGCTGCCTTACCCCCTTTCATTTTACCTACTGCCTCACGAACTTCCCCCACACTCACAACTGGCTCTTCCTCACTCCTACAAGATGTTATTCCTCCTTGTCCTATTCACGAAATCACAGCTTCCCTATCTTCATCAACATTTAACAATTCCTCAAAATATTCCCTCCATCTTCCCAATACCTCTAACTCTCCATTTAATAACTCTCCTCTCCTATTTTTAACTGACAAATCCATTTGTTCTCTAGGCTTTCTTAACTTGTTAATCTCACTCCAAAACTTTTTCTTATTTTCAACAAAATTTGTTGATAACATCTCACCCACTCTCTCATTTGCTCTCTTTTTACATTGCTTCACCACTCTCTTAACCTCTCTCTTTTTCTCCATATACTCTTCCCTCCTTGCATCACTTCTACTTTGTAAAAACTTCTCATATGCTAACTTTTTTCTCCCTTACTACTCTCTTTACATCATCATTCCACCAATCGCTCCTCTTCCCTCCCGCACCCACTTTCCTGTAACCACAAACTTCTGCTGAACACTCTAACACTACATTTTTAAACCTACCCCATACCTCTTCGACCCCATTGCCTATGCTCTCATTAGCCCATCTATCCTCCAATAGCTGTTTATATCTTACCCTAACTGCCTCCTCTTTTAGTTTATAAACCTTCACCTCTCTCTTCCCTGATGCTTCTATTCTCCTTGTATCCCATCTACCTTTTACTCTCAGTGTAGCTACAACTAGAAAGTGATCTGATATATCTGTGGCCCCTCTATAAACATGTACATCCTGAAGTCTACTCAACAGTCTTTTATCTACTAATACATAATCCAACAAACTACTGTCATCTCGCCCTACATCATACCTTGTATAC